AGAGAGAGAGAGAGAGAGAGAGAGAGAGACGAAGTTTTAATGAACTCTTGCGTTTGGTATTCGTCGGTTCCGGCGACATAAAATTCCGCTAAATTATTTTGTTTCGGGCGACAATGACGACAGTATGAATTTTTTTTTAAGGGAATTCTGAACGTGACCGGAATTTGAAGAAATCGTTGCCTTACTGATTATATGAAATTTATGTCTAAATTCTAAGCAGGCTCGTATGGCTCGTATAACGTGTTCTCGTAAAATTTATGAGAACTTTTAAATGCTTTTACCTTTTTATACAATATCTTTGCAGACAGCTTCTTGCTAGCTATAAGATTTACGAGAGATCGTAGATATTTACGAATAATCGTACGATAAATACTCACAAAAAATTAGAATACTATATAGTCATAAGTTCTTACAAGTTTTACGAGTTACGAGTCTCACGATTCTGTTTAGAATCGATTCATGACACACACATACGATTTACGTGACACCGACATCAGCGTAATTTTCGCAAAGTTTACGAAAGTTATTGCGTTTAATTGGTGAAACGGACGAGAGTTTAGGATCCCCTTAAGTCGAGTCTTAAAGTCAAAAACGTAGTATGCTCAACGGTTCCAAACGTTTCCGTTCGTCGAGCAGGGCCTCCGGCCATCTTTACCGCGGCCCTGCCCGGGCCCTCTTCGTGAAAGAAAGTGCTCCCACTGCGAGATCGAGGTCGAGAGACTTGGTTCTTCTCGTGTCGATACACTCTTTTACGACCTCGCTTGGAAGGGACTCCCGCTGCTCTCTTCTCGAAGCCGTTGAGGAAAAGAACGAGAGGAGGAGAACTGTTCAAAATGGTCTCTTTCCGAAACTATGCAAGGTCGTTCAGGGCCTTCCACATGGATGACGTGCACGCAGATTCGTATAGCTGTGTGTGAATGGCTCTGTTGTATTTAAGGAAACAGGTCCGGAGAGAAATCCTGGAATGTGGCATCCATATGTCTCATTCAAACGTACGATCGGTTTCCCACAATTCATCATCTAAATTCATGAAAAGACAACGAATTGCATACAGTTGCTTGCGGCCGACGTAAGATTATACCTATCCGGTTTACAATAGGTCTGTTCTTTTAAATTTAACTTCTTGCACAGTTCATCCTGTTTTCTCTCCACCGTGAAAGATAGAGAGAGAGAAAAGAAGACGTGCGCAAAAAGTTTAATTGAAGGAAGAAAAAAAACAAGTCTAATGCGATACTTTAGAGAGCCATCGATGCCGATTACGGAGGAGGAATGGAATGTTTTAATTGCGCAAAATGTGCAAAGGAAAACGAGGCTGATATCATAGCAGTAAATAAATAAGAAACTTATAGAAATTCAATACAGCGTTACATTGTTTTCTTTGACCATTTGGGTGGGTAACAGATGACTGTTGATCGTGTTGGGTCGTAGATGCGGCCTCTGTGGTGAGATTGCGAGCTGAAAAATCGCGTCGAGCGAAACGACGAAAGCGCGGGGAAAATCCCGGGGTTTAAGATTAATCGCGATAGCGCTAATTAACGATTAACCGGCCGCGCGTATAAATCTCTTACATGCCGCACCAAGCTGTTGGAAATCTAACTATCGTAAATTCTCGATGAACTTTAACGCGTCACGTAGATATAATATCCGATAATTGCTAAGCCGGGTAGTTGCTAAACATTTTATCCGTATAGCTTATATTACGTCGGTAAATAAATTTCTTCGAATTAGAAGAGATTCTCCAGCTATCTTGCGTGGCTCTAATATATATATCTCTCTCTCTCCTGAGATATAAATACTTTCGATATACATGTTATAT